TGGACAGCCCCCTTTCCCTGAGATTATTTGACTCTATGTCAGTTTTGAATAAATTCACTTTAGGGCACAAATTCACATTCGTTATGGTTGATCAAACAATTTCGGACACAGGCATGAAGAAGGAATGATTACAAATTATGAAAATGCAAGATTAAGATGAAACTCTATATATATACAATTATGTTGTGTAATGTAAACCCCTCTAGCCCTCTCTTGTGAAACTCCATCTCACAAATGAAAACCCCAGAAAAGGAGGAAGATGGACAGAAGTGACAAAATTGTGTTTATAGAACTGCATGGTAAATCATTGAACATGTTTTTTATGTTTGCTCAATGTTTACATTTAAAACCAACAGATACATTGCTTGCAAGCATTGGACTGTTTTAAAATTTTTTAGTGAAGTCTAGATTTATTAACTGTAAACTTAATAATTTATTGAATGTCAGATCAAATCAAGTGTGACTGAGGAGAATAAAAACATTAACAAATAAATCACAAACAATGTAACAAAAATAATAATTCAGATATATATTGCAGGGAACAAAATAGCAACTGAAGAAATTTTTAAAGTAAATCACTTTCACTTTCATACAATATTAACAGTATTACAATAACCAACAATTTAGATTCATGTTGAAATTACCCATTGAGTTGTTTGGGGTTGAAGGAATTGAAAAGAAACACAACACAGTATTCAATTTACTTTTTTTTGATAATTGAAATTAGCATTTCTTTTTCTTTTTAGACAAACTCAAACACCAGTGCGCACAAACACACACTGTAATAAAATGCAAGTTTATTTATGCACAATTACACGCCCCCCCCCCCCCCCCCTCCTTTTTTTAGACTACACTGACATTTTCTTCCTTTTTTGTCTGTAGCCATGAATAATTCACTGATTAAGTGTATAGCAGATTAAGGCTTTCTTTTGCAGTTGCTTAAATTAATCATCAGTTAAAATAAATAAATACAATGCATATTGCACTAAAAGAACATACTTTTAGCCACTAAAAATCCCAAACTGTGTCAACATTTTTTTAAATCCAAAAAATCCTATTTAAATTTTAAAAATCTGTTAAATTTTAAAAATCTATTTTTTTATTTTCAAAATGCAAGCATAAGTGACTGTTTTCCATTTTTGTGTGTGAAGTCCTCTCATTTGGCTTTGCATTTGCTTTTTTTTTTCATTTTCTGTGACAGCTTGATATAACTCCTATCTGATTTTCATTCATTCTTCTTGTTCTTTCATTTCACCATCCGCAGCTCAATTTTTCCTTTTTCATTCTGGAGAAAAGCATTTACCTGCTCCATCCTACTCAGGAGACTTTCTAAAGATTTTATTTTATCGGGCAGCATTCAGTGCATTCAATTACCAGCTTTGGACATGTCTTAATATTTGCGTTAACAATATCAGGGGGGTTGTGTAGCTATGTTTTCGAAGTAGCGGCCTGTTCGTCAATTGTGTTTGTGTTCATAAAAATTTTCTTTGATAAAAGCTCCTGAACAGTTGGAGTTGTACTATTTTTCTTTTTTGTGTCCTTTAGCAAATTATGGTTGTATTCAATAAACAAAAGATCTGAGTTTTGCAACTATGATGCAGACATTGCAAATTAATTTGACCCACACAGGTACAAAAAACTAACCTCATTATCTATCTGCCTCTCTTTGGACAAATAATGAATGAGATCTATAACATTTTCGTACGTCAAGCTTTCATTTCCAACTTAATTAAACAAGTACAAGGGGTTAAAAATATTCATTGTTCAGTCAATGTCACAAGCATCCAGGAAAAAAGACACAGTTCACTTTCAGTGGCCTCAGCAAAAATCCACACAGAATGTCACTTTCCAGAGTCAGTGTTTTCTGCACCACATTCACACCTTCCTGACCACACAAATGGTGTCAAAGATGAGTTTTGAAAAAAGTTTCTGAAACCACTCCTTTTCATTTTCCCTTGTTCTCCAACTAAGTGACGCATTACGAAAATCTTGTTGGTAGCAGGAACATCCAGAGGGTCTGGCTTCCTCCCTTTTCCAAGATGAATCATTGTGGCACACAGACCACTGTACATTTCTGCATCTGTGGATTAAATTCATAAACAAAAAAGTTTAAATAAATTCTGAAGCACACTGGCCATTGTAAGTTTTTGCTTCTGTGGATCAAAATCACATGATATGGAACATTTAAATTTTAATTCTGAAACAATGAGGGGTATTACAATTTCTAGATAGAAATATTTAAAACTAATTTTTCTGCAACTGTAACCTTTATCAAGCATCTTAGGGCTAAAAGTTCTGAGTAAAAATAAGTTGTGAAATAATGACAATGACGTGATTAATGTGAAGAATTACTTTTATACCAATATATTCTAAAACTGTACACTGGAAATCTAGCACAGATTGTATCTCATTCCCTAACATGCTGTGAGTAAAAAACACCAACATTTTTTTTCAGTCTTAGAAACCACTGATAAAGATTTGAAAGTCAATCCCAGCTTCCTCTTCTCTGTAAATACGCTTTGAGATCTACAATTATTTGCATGATAGGGTGAAATCAAATATTTTGAAATGCTAAAAAAAAAAAGCTAATTTACAGCAAAAATTGAATGACACAGTGGGTTGGAAAATAATATCTAAACTCTATCCCATTACCTACAAGTACTACGAGACAACTTACCAATTGGTTTCCAAATTGCACTCCAGTAGTCATTTTGTGTGTTGCAGTGTCCGAAGAGGCAGCATCCCCACCAATGCTTGTCCCGTCTATCTTGTCAAAATCCACCCTGTAATGTAAATCAGGAAAAGAAATTCAGTACAAAACTGTTGGGAAGAAATACATTACTGGGTATGTAAGTAGGCCTTTATAATATATGTGAACATTAAATGCTCGTACTATTATAGTACGGCCAAACATTCGTAGTGCAACTTATTGTCAAATTTACCTTAATACCAAACATAGACTCTCCAACTTTTGCACAATGACTTGTATCAATAGTTTTTCTTAACAGATCAATATTTTTGTACACACAACTGTTACTTGTATTCTAGAAAATTCCTAAAATAATATATGTGAGGCAGCGTGGTGGAATCAGGCTCTCATCAATTTTTGGGCATGTAGAGTTATTGGTATCATCTTAAAGCTTGTTCACTTGTCTTTATTTGGATGAAAAAAATATCCATTTATCTTGAATACAAGTTGAGATCATTAGCGAAAGAAGGAGGTGGGGGTCACCTGTTTTCAGAAGTAAAATTAGAGAGGAAATGGCCGCCAAAGATTAGTTATTTCCTTAGCTTAAGAGTCCGTGGTAACTGAAAATTTACATTCTTTGTGCTTTTAATCAACGCTTTTCAGAAAAATCCACTCAGAAATGAGTTCTTTAAAGGGCATGAAAGGTGTTGAGCCAAAAAACAAAATTTTTTTAAAATTCACAAACCTGCGAAAAAATGCAAGTTTCTTCACTTTGATTATTTTGACGAGAGCCTGATTCCACAACGC